GTTTTCGACAGATTTCGTAAAATTTTGAACTGTATAAACGTTTATAAAAAAATAATTGTGACTAACGATTTTTTATTTTTTTTAGCTACAATAAGAACAAATCATAAAGAACCTTGTATTACATTTTCAAGTTTTTTTGGTCGTCTAACATTTTTTTACCAGCACTTAAAAAAAAATTCTAAAAAAAATTGAAAATTTCAGTGGTCTATAAATAAGTAAATAACTCAAAAAAGTCAAACATTTTTGAAAAATAAACTGTTTATAGATATCACTAACATAAACATTTTGTGAAAATGTCAAGTATTTATAGTGATTAGTTTTTGAATTACAACCATATAAAAAAATCGATTTGGTCGAAAACTGGTTTTGTGTAAACTTTCCCGTTTTTCTGCCATTTTTATTTGTTTTTCTCGATTTTTTTGAAAACTGTTGGAAAATTTTTACTTCTGACCTCTATAATGCACCAAGGATATTCACTTTTACATCGGAAACCACCCCCAACGTTTGAAGTTGAAGCATTATTTCGACTAGTACAGACACACACAAAAAAAAACACACATCATTGTAAAATCAATACATTCATCGTTCAGAATCTAAAATAAATTAACTCAATTTTTTTTATGTATATTTTAAGTTCAAATATATAAACGAATTTAAACGAAGAATAACAATTTTAGTTATTTTATTGTTAGAAAAAATATCATTTGTGGATACTTATAAGAAACTTTTTCCATGTTAATATATTATTTTACTTTAAATTTATTAGATAATGTGTACTGTCATTATACATTATTAAACATTGAAATTAAATAACAATTTTTAATCATATTATAACTTTGCGAGATTTTGTTGCCGCAAATTTTTCAACTACTTGAGAAAAATCTAATGTTCTTAGTATGTCACTTTCGATACTTAACAATGCAAGTCCTGATAGTCGTCTTTGTGTCATCGGAGTTAGAAAAACTATACCAAATTATGAATATTATTCAATCGGGATTATTCTATGCTCTATACATGTCCATAATAACCGATTTTAAATTTATATTTGTAAACTCACAACTATTGTTTTTATGAATTTATAATATATAAGTATATTAATAATAAGATTTATTTATATATTTATGACAGTATTAACGATTAAACATTTTTATTTAAATTATGATTTAAATCTATTTTGAAAATATTATATTATCGTGTTTTATATGTAGACAAATCCAACTGAGATGAGGCCCTCATTTTGTGGGGGCCCCGGGACCGGGGCCCCCTGGACAATCCCCTAAATCCGGCCCTGTATATGTCATATGGAATATTCTATCTTTATACTCTATCTATACTTCTACAGTGTATTGTGTACTTATAGTGATTATACATGTGTACAGTWTATATACAGAAATAATATTTGAACGTCGTTGACAAAAATACTAATTGGTTATGACTTATGACCGTCCGCGATAGCGTGAACTTCTCAAAAACAGATAAACGAATAAAATAATGTTTCAACGTCTCAATACAACGCSACAGTCCACCGCGTGTCTTGTGACCTGTGCGTTATATTCGAGTGTGTTGTGTTATAAATTTATTTTTTTTCTCAAAGTTAGTTTTGTTATTTTGTTTACAATATGGAGAGATGGCTTAAAAAAGGAACWCAGAAACGTTCCTCTCCAGAACCTGAATATTTTGCGGTGAACTGAAGTCATATTGATAATCATAGTAAWAATGAGAAYGATACAAATTAAATTTCCCCAAAATATTTTAGGAAAGTAACTAAAAAATKTAGAAAGTATGAGGAAAGTTACATATCATTAGGATTTAGGAATAATAATGATAATCCTCAGTGCGTTATTTGCAGCAAAGTTCTCCCAAATAGCTCTATGGCTCCAGCTAAAATGCGTCGTCATTTAGAATCTGTTCACGGTGAACTTAAAGAAAAAAATGTAGAATTCTTTATTCGAAAGCGTAACGAACTACTAAAATCAATAAACTGTATGGCTCAAACCACAAAAACTATGAATGAAAAAGCGACCGAGGCTTCTTATTTAATTGGCTATCGGATAGCTCAACGCGGTGAAGCTTACACAATTGCCGAAAGTCTAATAAAACCTTGTACTATGGAGATGGTAAAATGTATGTTAGATGAAAAATTGGCAAAAGAAATATCTAAAATCCCACTATCAAATGACACGGTAGCTAATCGTGTCGATGATTTAGCAGCCGATATACAGAATGRACTTATTTTTCGTCTCAAATCGTGCAAATTTGCATTACAAATGGATGAGTCTACCGATGTAGCTGGGCTTGCAATATTAATTTTYATCGTTAGGTATCAACACGAAAGCACATTATTGGAAGATCTTCTTTTATGCAAATMTCTACCAACACGTATTACTGGAGTTGAAATATTTGATCTTCTAAATTCATTTCTTGAAGGAAATGAAATACCTTGGGAAAACTGCGTTGATATCTGTACTGATGGAGCAAAGGCTATGAGTGGTAYAATTAATGGAGCTGTACAGCGTATTAAAAATATTGCCAGAAACTGTATGATACATAGACTAAYGTCTAAACTTYAGACGATCGGACGATCCTGCAATTTAGTCCTCCTCCTCCTTAGCTCAGAGCMATTTCTCTTTCACAATGTTTTTATGTATGTTGCTATATTGAATTCAAAACTAACAAATCTATTAGGTACCTACAGTTCAGACATCTAATATACATCTCAACAGAGTGACGACTGACGAGTAAACCTTGTTGTCAGTAAAGTTGTCCGTATTTTTTTTATTAATTTTTATAAAGCATTTTCAATTTGTTATAAAGTAATATATGCTAGTAGGTATTCTCAATTTAAAACTAATTGTCGACATGACAGGCATACCTATTATGTTTAATAATCTTAGGYTATTAATAATCTCAATGAATCGTGATTCTAAATTGTTTTTATTAATAATATAAATTATTGTTTTAACTTATGTTTATTATACATTTCTAAAAAGTTGTCCCAAACTTGGAAAATGTATTGAGTATGTAATAAAAATCTATTGATTAAAAATCTAAAATGCAATTTGGAATAAACCAACAATTGGAATAATRTGCCTTAGAACCTTAGATCAGTTAGATCATAATATAGATTGTGATCATTTGAGAATATTATAATTGTATAATATATAAATATAATCAATATGGTATTGTGGTACAACATTAAAACGTTAATTATGATTATGATCTAATATTTWAGCTTTGAACAAAACCTTATTGGAAGAATTGGGTAAGTWATGGCAAGTGTATTAATACGCCTTGGGTAGTGGTATAAGTAGATAATGGAACAATTGGTCATTGGAACAAAACCATGGACATACGAAATATTAGTCAATCTGGTTTAATATGGTTTAAACTTGTGATGCTATCGCCTGCCTGCTATCGCACATGTGGTTATGTTATTGTTTACAATATTTTATATTTTAAAATTTTAAACTGACTACCAATTATTACCGGTCATGGTAAACAGAGCTTAGTAGTAGGTTAGTACAGACTATGATGAAGATGTTTTAAAATTAAACTGAAAACTACAGGTTACGGGCTATAAATACACAAAATTGAAAAGTAAAAACAATAAAAGTGAACACTGAGCACAGTTGTTTACTGTTGGTACTTTAATATATTATTATAAGCCGCGGTGTATTATTATCTATTACACATATTCTGTCTAACGCCGTTGATTTCGGTTTTATTCGTCGTTTCTCCAGAAGAAGATCGCACGTTATTCACCTGAAAAAATAATAAATGTGAAGAATTTATTCAATATTTGTCTCATTGGTTAGTGGTAGCTTATAATAATTCTTCGTTCTCACTACCATGGAACCTGAAGCAGTGTGCCGAACCGTGCTTAATGAAATCGAAGAATGTTTGTCGCAAATCAAACAAATGCCTTTACCACCGTTTCCCGTTTACGAGAGTGAGTATGAAACATCAATTTTCTAATCGAACACCTATAGCTATTATTATAAGTGTGAACTGTTGGCAATAAGTTTTATAAATGTTCATTTGCATGGTAAGATAACAAGTTGAGTAGTAAGTACTACACTTCTAAATAGATGCTGATTGGAAAACATACTATAATGTTTTGGTTTGAAAAAAAAAATATTTTACGATTACCTATATCATTAGACAATTTTAATATTACTTTGCTTATTGAATTAAATGTATTTGTGATTGTGGATATCATATTATAACTCTTACAACCTCATTAATCTAGTCTAATTAGGACAGCCAGGATTATACAAAATAATTATGAATAGAGCCAAAACACATATTTAGAAATTGGAAATTAAGATAAAACTTAAATGATAAAACTTTGCTACATCGTTACTTTATTTATAATTTTTGAAAGCAATAGTATTTCTGCAAGGAATTCATGTTATACCTAGCTATTAAATTCCACTAATTTTATCTTCAATGATCATAATTTTAGTTGCCTATTTTTTTCAAACACTTAATATGTAAAAAATTACAATATATTATTATAATTTAATAATTGTTAMTATCATACCTTTTATAACATATAGTACCTACCTAATTGTGTAAATTGAAAACTTATTAAGCGTTGAATGGTGCAATTGTTTTGGACGTAATAGGACATCTGAAGTGGTGATAGGTTAGTTAAGTACAATTACTATGTTTATATGATGGCAATAAAACGYTTTGAAAGTAAATCGATTTTAAATTCTTTAACTACCTAGTGTAGGCATTTTAATTTTTAAAATAGTTTATATAATGTAAACGATTTTAACGCCATCATATTGATATAGTAAGTTGTAAAAACGATTTAAAAAATGTAAACTGTTTTACAAGTTAAAAAGCTCGCACTATGTAGTTTAAAAATTTAAAACCATTTTAATGCTATCATATAAATATAGTAGTTGTGTTTAGTCACTAGATCTAATGCAACATYGTCATGCGTGTATCAGCGTATCTAGGATTTTTTAAAGGAGTAGGTATGTTTTGATTTAATATTTAAATACAACTTTAGGAAAAGATCACACATCTAATATATTTTTGCATTTTAAAGCTGTAAAAGGTGGATTGAGGGGGTTTAATATTACCCACGTTGGGCTATACACTACTAGGCCCTACAAAATATAACATAACTGGATTTTTCAATCATTTTTCTGAAAGTATTAATAATAAGTATTATTAAACAGCCGTTCGTTTTGATTAACTTGTATTGTATCAAAGTATAACTTATCTACCTATGCATTAGTACTACTAAACAATATACTTAATATAGGTATATGAAGTATACTGTCCATAAAAAGCGTGTATTAATTTTCAAATTTTCATAGATACAAATAAAGCTGCTGCTTATATAAGCTATCGTTTAAAAGAGTATGATTCTGTTGCTTATTATYTATCTGAAGCTCATGGAGGTGGAATTCGTTCAAAACTTTCATTGATAATGAATCCAGAGTAAGATCGACATTGTTCAATTATTTTTTATTMAAAACATTAAAAATATATTCTCATTTGATTTAATTAATAAAATAATAACTGCATTTTTGTATGAATTATTTAACTTTTCATTGGGTTAAATACATTTATTTTTATTCTAGTACTGCAAGTAAAAAAGAACTGAATGATTGTTTATCCTTGAACTCAGAATATGTGACCAAAAGATACAATGGTCTTTTGGAACGTTTAAAAGAAATGCCATCAGAATGGACATTAATACAAATCACTAAAAACTATAATCCTAAAGATGTAGTAACTCCTAGGCCTACAGAGAAACCTACAGAAGTTGGTGAATTGTTTATATCTAGATATCAGTGTGGTCAAAAATACAAGAATATGTATGATATTTTTTTAAAATTAATTGGACATTTTTATCATACCTATTGATAATTAAAAAATATTTGACTTTTTAGTAAACCTTTGACTATAAAAGTGGATAAAGCAAAAACCAGTTTAGGACAAAAGACTATTTTTGAAGTTCTGAAAAAAAGCTTAGAAGATACAAATGACAGACAAAATAAGGATCCATCAGYTATTCGGAATTTAAGAGATTCCGCTTCCCAGTCAATTAAAGTAAATAAACAACTATTGAAATAACCCCGAATAAGTCTCCRAACTAAATGCAAAGTCAAAAATTATTAATAATTGAATTGTTATTAAAATGATTGTTTCCAACAGAGCATTTCACAGGAAATTCATACTAGTTGGATAAAACATTGGATTTGTATGTTGTTAGGCAATTATTTTGATGAGAAACTTTCAGCAGAAGTCTATAGCATTATTGATAATGTCATAGAGTTAGTAATTGTATATATAATTTTATCTCTTGAAAATTATAATTCATGTGTGTACAATTTATTTATTTTTATTATGTAATATTCTCAGAGAAGAAAACATGACTATAAGTGAACGGAGCAGAATGATTTTGTATCAGATAACAAATGCAGTCGTCCAGTTGACGAATGATGAAATAAATAATCTTCTTAAAGAAGTTGACTGTTCAACAGAGGAAATGAATAAATTTGAATCTGCTATTAATAAATATAAATTAAATGGTTCACATTTAATGTTGAAAAAAAGACATCCTGTTTTGCTTATATTAGACGAGGTATAGTATTAGTTTGTATTACTAAAAAGATTTATATTTTTTGATTTTCTTGTTTCATAGCATTTAGAATGTTTGCCATGGGAAACAATACCGTGTTTAAAAAGACATCCAGTCTCCCGCGTGTCATCTGTACATATTGTGCACAGGTTATATCATAAACACAAGGATTCTATTCAAAATGGATTAATGTAATATAATGAAAAAATATTTATAAWTTATGTATATTCTAACTGCAATTGATTTCAGGAAAATTAGAAACCAAGGATATTACATTTTAAACCCTGATAAAACATTGTCTAATGCTGAAAAAAGAATGTCGAGTTTCCTCAAGGAAAGAAATGTAAACTGGGACGGCATTCAAAGTCAAGAGCCTACTTCAGAACAGTTCAGTTCTTTACTTAAAAAAAATAACATACTATTGTAAGTGATTATATTATTATGATTTTGTTTTGATTTGCTTATCTAATATTATTAAAATATTAACCCTATTTAGATATTGTGGCCATGGTAACGGAACACAATACTTGCATAGTTTGGATTTAGACAAATTAGATCTACAGTGTATACCAATGTTGTTTGGRTGCTCAAGTGTTAAACACACTGACAAAGGAGGACGATCTAATTTTGTGGGTGCTTCTTATGGATATTTAAAAGCTGGCTGGTAATTCATTTCTCAACTACCTACAGTTTTTTAAAAWTTTTAATGAACATCTATTTATTTAGTCCCTGTGTCATTGGTATGTTGTGGAATGTAACAAGTTTAGATGCTGATAACTTGGCCAGAGCCATGCTTAATGTTTGGCTACCCGGAAATCCCATCAACCTTCAAGGTGAATAAAAATTATACAATTTAATCATTATTTAATATTTCACAAATTAATGTTTATGTATTATAATAATAACAATAATTTATATAAATTATAATAGATGAACAATTATTTTTGTACCTGAATTTAAAAATAATTTATCTTAATTGGTTTGATTTGGATAATGTTTCAGAGAAATGGCCTAAAGAATTTTTGGATCAACAGGATTATCCCATGGAACGAGAACTCTTGCGTACATTAGCGATTGCCAGAAAAACTACTAGAAGTTTTTTCAACTATGCCGCTTTAGTTGCACGAGGTATACCAGTTATCATGACAGACTGAAAATGATCCTGATGTAATATTATTTTAATTTTAAGTTACCGAAGTTTTTAATGTTTTTTTTTTTATACATATTAAATAGTTCAAAGTATTATACTATTAAGTTTTTACCTATTTACAGATTTACACAATTATTACAATTTGTTAAATTACATTTTTAAGTAATAAATTGTTTATAATTTTTTTTCTCATATTTTGCTGTGTGTTAAGTTTTATATTTAAAATTATAATTACATTCCTACATCTGTTGTGCCTAAAAATTCTATCTCTGGTGTAACAATATAATAACTAAGTATATAATATAATTATATACTTAACGAGAATGTACTTACATAAATATTTTATAAATTATTCAATTATCTTCTAAAATATTTCAGTATCTATAATTTAATCTATTAAGTTATAAAAGGTATGTTTCTTATCCTGCAGCTTATAGCATTAATTAATGGTCTGTTTTTATGATGCTGTGCTGTACAACTGTTTGACACTGCTGAGAAAATGAATCTTAAGAAAATAATATACATAGTTGAATATTAGTTGAATAATTGGAAAATAATTTTACATCTATAAAAGTTATCATGTTATTTTCTGTTAATACTTCAACACTTCTGAAAATTGATTTGGCTAATTCTTCAAAAACATAGTGTATAATAATAATATTGTAATGATCCCTTGTTATTGGATTTTGTTTCATTAACTACTTACCGATGTACAAATCAATATATACTATGCTATACTATAACTATCTGTAAGTACAAGGTAAATTGTTTTATTTGTGTTATTATTGCTAATCTTAAGAGAATATTCAAAGTAATAATATATTCTGCTGTAAATTCACGAAAGTTTATTGTCACAAGGGTAGCAATAATCATTTCAATAACTAGGATCTAGGAGATATGACATATGAGAATACCTACACATGTAAAGTATGAGACATAGCTAAGTTCCAATATTTGATGTACCTTTGACTTGAATATTTAATATTATAAAATAAATATTTGTACCTACTACAGCCTATCAGAAAATTCATCTAATCTGTGTGCTTATCATAGACATTTGCTAGTAATTAGGGGCTGAATTTTACTACAAGTGCTAGTAGGTGTATAATATAGTTAATCATGTACCTATGCAATATTTTTTAATCGTGCTTCAAATAATAATTTCAATTGGGAATCTAGGCATTATATAAGTCGCTGGATTTCAAGGTTGACAAATTTTCTTTGTCAGCATACTAATTGGACAAATGGTATATTTTAATTTAATTAAATATACTTAATTTAATAAGTTGTATAATTTTATTATACAACTAGTTACTAACGTTTTTACTCAAGGGTTTTAGGTATATTATGATTTATGAGAACTCATTTACCAGACTCATATATATCACAATAGCACAGAACATTAGACAAAGTATATTTTGGTCTGACCGACAGAAGTAATCGAAATAGATTCCATGTACTACATACTATCATGCTTAAAAATAAAATGAACAATAATGCATGTATTGAGATTATTGTTTTTTTTTTTTTTAATTCTAATTTTGTATAGATCATTCAGATTATTGTAGTATAAAGTATTATGTGGCTATAAACTGTGCTGTAGTGCAGTATCATTGTATCCTCAATTATAAAACTCTTTATACTTGTACAATCACAAATTCTATTTCCTTAGCTTTAGAGTTACTTAAAATCTAAAATCTAAATATATTATTCAAATTGATAACTTTACTATCTCTATACGGCTATATTTTAGATTCTGAGTGGAGCAATGAATGTATTGATTTTAGTAATTTTACAATGTGTATTTTTATAAGTATATTTGTGTGTGTGTGTGTAGGTATACAATTAGACGTGGAAATAATGCTTCGATTCAAAACTTCAGCGAATTTTCCRATGGAAAAGTGAATCTAGTAAGTGCATTAGGGAGATCAAAATTTTAAATTCTCAGTAGTTTTCACAAAAGCACCGAGAAAAACAAAAAAATATTATGAATAGACAGTAATTTGTACGTAAAATCGGTTTTTGAGAAAATCTATTTTGAATATTATGGTGTAACTCTAAAACAAATTACCTTAGGTACTTACATGAAATTATCACTGAATATTTATGTTGACATATTTTTCTATACTTTGAAAATTTTTTAAAACATTTCAAATCTTTTTAAGTTATTTGTAATATTTGAAATTTTGAATTTTTTAGTTTTTTTAAATTAAAATTACAGTCACATATTTTTTAAGCATTTAAAGTTTGAATTTTGACAAATATTTTTAAAATTATACCTACATTTTACATTTAAATAATTTTTACATTTGTTTATTTTATCATTTCATATACTTGATAACATCTTCAAAATATTAATTTTGTAAAGTTATTTATAGGTATTTGATATTTTTTATTTTTTTTATTTTCTAAATGTCGATATAATTTTATTTATTGGGTCAAAAAAGTTGAAAATGTAACACAAAAGGTTCCCCATAAGTTGATATATTAGCAGTTGGAAAATATTGAAAATACATAGGCACGTTTTTTTCTAGTACATGGTTAATGATCATTTAAAGGGCACAAGATTAATAAATTTTAAAATTTGCGTACCTATACAAAAATCAATACAAGTTACATTATTAGAAAAAAAATTGGAAAGGGGAAGTTGGCGTCCGCAAGCAAATATATTTTAAGTGGCAAAAAAAATATTGGAAAAAAATTATCACTTGAAAGCACACAATGAATACTGCAATATGTAGGTARGTACCAGAGGTACCTACTCTAAATAAGTTGACTAAATGCAAAAATCGAAACTTTAGTATGTAATCTCCAGTTCATGATAAAATGATTATTTAAGGGCATATGGTTATTAAAGAATCAAATTTGTGTACACAAAAATCAACTAGATTTAAATTATCACAAAAAGAGGGGGTATTGGCGACCAGGGGCAAATGTGTTTCAAGACGTAAGACAAACAATTATACAGTAGGRATATACATTGGAGACTGCAGTGTGTACCTAATCTGAATATAATTAAATGAAAAAAATATATAAATATTTAGAATACCTAATAAAATCATGATAGAATGATTATTTAGTGTTCACATAGTTATTAAAGTTTAATGATAGTGTGTACAAAAATCAACTACTATATTTCAATATATTAAAAAAAAAAATGGGAAATATTGTATATTGGCATCAGCAGACAATGAGGCAAATATGTTTCAAGAAGCAAAAAAAAAAAATTAGAAAAATTCTACAATAAAAATACACACTGAATACTGCATTATGTAAGCAACAATTTATGTTAGAATAATTTTTTAGAAGGCATATGTCTATTAGTTTGATAGTTGTGTACACAAAAAATTAATTAGAGTTAAATTATGAAAAAAAAAATAAGAAGGGGTATTGGCACCTGCAGGCCAATGTGTTTCAAGAGGCAAAAAATAAATCTAGAAAAAAATTATCAGTAGGAATACACAATAAAGACTGCAGTTGTAATCTTCAGTAGTTCAGTTCATGTTGGAATATATAGTAAAGTAAAACAAAATAACTATCAAGAACTTAAGCACGTGGTAATAAAAGTTTGAAAATTGTTTAAACTAGATTTTAATAATGAAATAAAAAAAAAACTGGAAAAGGGAATTATTGGCTCCAGCAAGCAACACTGATTCATGGAGCAAAAATACATTTAGAAAAAAATTATTCAGTAGGAATAAATTGTAATGAAGACTGCAGTATGTAATATAAAGATAACTAAAGTCTAAAAACAAAAAAACTATTAAGAAAAATAAAGTCGTGAAAGAATGATTATTTAGAAGAATGGAAATTTAAAAATTGTGTACACAACAATCAACTAGAGTTTAATTATGAAAAAAAAAAATGAGAAAAGGGGTATTGGCGCCCGCAAGCAATACTAATTCAAGAAGCAAAAAAAAATTCAGGAAAAACTCTACATTTGGAATACATTGAAGACTTCAGTGTAAAATCTCCAGTTCATGGTTGTACAATTATTTAGTTACACATGGTTATAAATTATAATTAAGTTAAAGCACTGTGTACACTAAAACCAATTAGAGTTAAATTATCGAAAAAAAATAAGAATGGGCGTAAGGCACCCATGGGCAAAAGTTTGAAGAAMCAAAAAATAAATTTAGAAAAAATTTATCTGCAGTTGGAGTAGGTACACAATATAGAATGCAGTATGTACTATGTAATATCCAGCTCATTTATATATGATTAGGTATTTAAAGGGTACATGATTATTAAAGTTTCAAAATCGTGAGGACAAAAATCAACTAGAATTAAAAAATGAAAAAAAAAATGAGAAAGAGGGTGTGGGCGCCCACAGGCAAAAGCATTTTGAGAAGCAGAAAAAAATTTTGAAAGTATTATTCAGTATGGAAACACATCGAGGACTGCAGTATGCAATGTCAATAGTCAATATAATGAAAAACAAAATAACTATTAAGAATCTTAAAATCAGAATAGATTGATAGGTAATTAAGAAGGCACATGGTTTTGGAAGTGTAAAAATTGTGTGAACAAAAATTAATTAGAATTAAAAATGAAAAAAAAAATGAGAAAGAAGGTGTGGGCRCCCGCAGGCAAAAGCATTTTGAAAAGAAAAAAAAAATTTGGAAATATTATTCGGTATGGTAACACATCGAAGACTGCAGTATGCAATGTCGATATAATGAAAAACAAAATAACTATTAAGAATCTTAAAATCAGAATAGATTGATAATTACGAAGCCACATGGTTATGAAAATGTGAAAATTGTGTGATGATTTGAAAATAAGCATGGCCGTTGCTATTGATAAAACTTCACCTTAAAATAATTATATTAACTAGGGTGGTTTAGTTAGCTATTTTAAATGAATAATAATTAAAGG